TATTTGGGGTTTATGATGAATTAATTTTCTCGGAAATCGTATCCTAAGACTGCGTTTGAGTGACGCTTGGTACATGGTCAGGGTGCTCTGGTTCGAATGATGTTCTCGTCCTCTTCTTTTCATTTGAAGATACAATGTCTATATTTGCTCTAAAGTATTATTGCATCTTTACCAATAATAATCCACATTACCTTTAGTATGATCAAAATATGTTTTTTTGAAATTCCCTATACTGAAAATTTGGGTTTATCTCCTTTTCAGGGGATTCTTGTAACTTATAGATTGATCAACCTTAACACTTACAGTCTCTGAACTAGAAATATAGACAAGGTATCCCTAGCAAAGTGACACCACAGATTAAATAAGATAAGCCTCAGAAAATTGAAGAGTTCTTTCATGTAAGGGGGTATATTCATTCCCTTGCACATTATTGACACTAATTACTTACATTGCAAATACATATTGTTGTTATATTTATTATAATGTAATCCTGTTATTTGTTACCTCATTAATTTTTTTTAAATAAGATAATGAGTTGCTGGAGATCCAAATGTGGTCATGGGTTGATATTATTTTATGCAAGTTATCATATTTGAACTTGGGTCTGTTATCATTATCCATCATCTCATTAAAACTGATACTTAATCGGTGGATTTTTGATTAGAAAAAAAAAACATTTACTTATTTATGTAAAAATCAGTTTACTTTGTTGTTATCACTGATATGGAAATCCATAGGGTTGATGATAGAGTAGGGTTGGGTTGAGCAAGGTAGAGTTAGATGGAGTGGAGTTAGGTAGGGTTGGCTAGGGTGAGATGGCAATGGGTTGAGTATGGTCAGGAGGGGTTGGGTGGGTTGGTTTGAGTTGGGTTGACTGTGAAGTGGCCCAACGGGTGATGGGGCTGGAATCTTTGCTAGGAAAGTATGTAGGCAAGGTTAGGAGAGTACTGCTTGGGTGGAAACTGTTTAATATGTTTTATGTGATTTTTTAAAGCCTTTAAAAGGGCTCATTAACCCAGCAGATAGCTCAAGTTTATTCACGTCATATCAGAAACCATGAGTTAAGATATTGGTTCCACCTCTAAAGATCATGGGGAGGAAAATTTGCTAATAGATTTGACAACATACATGATTTTATATTTTAGCCATATATAAATGAAGATATATTAAAAGGCTAATGTATTTCTGATTTTACAGGATCTGTTTTTATTTATATTATTAAGATGTACTTAGTTTTCTCTTTTTTTTACATTCTGATTTCAATGAACATATATTGATTTTATCCAAAATACTAATCAGGCTCAAGTGTGTCCAATATGTAATTATCAAACCAGTATCATCAGTAGTGAATAATCCTGTATTAGTTTTAAATTTTAAATAGCAGTATTTTTTGTATGATTTTACACAAGTTGCATAACATTTGTCACTTTTAAATTTCACACCTTTGCAGATGAGAAAAAGCAGTCAAGATGGGGGATGGAATGCTATCATTATACTGGAACAACCACAAGGCCACTTTCTGCCACATTCTGGCAACTCTCAGGGAGAAGGTGAGTTTTAAGAACTAATATGTATTATGAATTGTAAATCTGGTTAAATGAAATGTCATGTTTGGTAGTCCATATCTTTTATCAGCAGTAAAGTAGAATAAGCAATAGGTTTTACGTTTTATAGAAGTCTTATATGAAGAAGCTCTTAACCGATTCGCGCCGGGTACAAAATGAACAAAAAATGGGGAAAATGGTGTACTCCTTTTTTTATATATTTTTTTTAAATGTCTCTACACTAGATGGCTCTGCCTTCTCTGATTTCACCTTTACTTGAATTGGTGGGAAAATGTATTTTCACTAGTGCTCTGAATATCGATGGTTATTTTTATTATAAACATCATAATTACTCTAATATTATAAACATTAGTAACACCAAAATAAGATAACATAAAATATTTTTGTAAATTAAAGAAAAGGGTAAACAGGCAAGACAGGCAGTACAAGTACAAATGTAGTCTTATTATTATTATTATTATTATTATTATTATTACTATTACTATTATTATTATTATTATTATTATTATTATTATTATTATTATTATTATTATTATTATTATTATTATTATTATTGTTATTAGTAGTAGTATTCTTTTTCAAAATGTAATATCTAAATGCAAAAAAAGGACACTAATGGTAATGTCATAAAAATACAATTATTAGTTAATATATAAGTAGAAGTATGCCATTATAATCTGTTTAAAAATATGCAATAAATATTTATAATAGAGAACCTGAAGGAGTCAATCACTGATGCTGGGAAGATGCAAGGATGGCAAAAATAAATGCCAGTTTTTTGTTTGTTTATTTGGTTACTGATTGTGTGTACACATTGATGGCTCGACAAGTGCTTAATCACCAATAAGTAGTCCTACCAATCTCACCTGTTTATCCTTTTCTGTGATTTTTATAGATTTTATTGTATTACAGTTAGTATTGCGAATTAGATTTTGATACTCATAATATCAGCAACAATGGTAACAATATCAATATTAATAGTATTTGATTTTTTCCTGAAAACTCAAGGAAAGGGTAGATCAGGTAAGGTCACGTAAACCTGCTAATTGGCTCCTTGGTGGAGACATCTATGTGCCAACAAAATTTACTAAGACAGCTACAGTAGCCAGTATGATAACCTGTTAACAATTGGTTAAGAATAAGTTTGTGCATGGCATAGAAATATGAATTGTATTTTTCATCCCCTTGTTTGTATTTACAAACATGCAGAGTAATTTTTTTTCCCCTTCTTCTTCTTCTTCTCTCTCTCTCTCTCTCTCTCTCTCTCTCTCTCTCTCTCTCTCTCTCTCTCTCTCTCTCTCTCTCTCTCTCTCTCTCTCTCTCTCTCTCTCTCTCTCCCTCTCCCTCTCCCTCTCCCTCTCCCTCTCCCTCTCCCTCTCCCTCTCCCTCTCCCTCTCCCTCTCCCCTCTCTCTCCTCTCTCTCCTCTCTCCCTCTCCTCTCTCCCCTCTCTCTCTCTCTCCCTCTCCCTCTCTCTCCCTCTCCCTCTCTCTCCCTCTCCCTCTCTCTCCCTCTCCCTCTCTCTCTCCCTCTCCCTCTCCCTCTCCCTCTCCCTCTCCCTCTCCCTCCCCTTCCCCCTCCCTCCCCTTCCCCCTCCCCTCCCCCTCCCTCCCTCCCTCCCTCCCTCCCTCCCTCCCTCCCTCCCTCCCTCCTCCATAAAAACATTGAAAATCAAAGGTTTAGGTTAACTTTGGAAGGCTTTCAATGAAGAACTAGCAAAGTACAAGCATAAGATTCCACATTTGTATAGCATGTTCAACATAATAGTGTCACCTGGTTTTTATATGGCAAGTATAGATGTCAGTCAGCATTGTTCGGTTAATCCTCTTAAATTAGAATTTACTTTTAACTAAATGATTTTTTATAGAACATAACTTTTTGTATCTTATTAGCAGTACTAATAAAGTATAGGTGAATTTGGTGGAACTATCTGTCAGTTCCAAAAGATGTTACAGGTTGTATCTTGTTATCCTGCTATGAAAAGTTTGTAGTCACTTTTTTATGTCCATCACCATCTGCATAATTAGTGGCCTTACATTCTGCTGGTAGCCTACTGCTGTAAAGATATACATATCCTTAATGGGCACTCCTTAATGTCAACCATTAAATTTGACATCTGTTGGGTCCTAAAGTAGGGATTGACTGTAGCAAAGTTTTGTTTCCTGGTTCATTTCATATTTCTGTAGTAGGCCAGTCAGTCTTGTTGACTCTTAAGTCAGTACATATATGTGTGCTTGGCCACCAGTACACTTCACTTTATTCACAAAATTGTTTCAGCTTATCATGTACATAGCATTATAATGTCTATGTTTCTCATAACTTAACAACCAGATACTCAAAATTTAGTTCCTGAGGCATGTTTACAACTCGATGATGTGTCTGGAAAAGTAATTTGTTTCACGTTTTAAGTGCATTTCAACATGTTAAAATATTTAGAGAACAGTATTAGCACATATAAGAAATTAACAATAGTCAAAGAGATATTTACTTTTATCAATTTTGAAAATTAGAGTTATTGCCACATTCATGCCCATACACACTCTGATACTCTTGTATAAATACTCATACTCTTAGAAGTAGAAAAAATACTTTTTATACTAAATTAGGCTCCTTTCATTCGCTATTTTTAGCCTTGGCCTTAAATAGATAGTACTGGAATTTGTGTGTAAACTTTACTTCCGCACCATTTGAAATGCACTGTTATTTTTATTAGTATCATTATTTTGTTTTTTATTTATTACTATTTATTCATATATATATATATATATATATATATATATATATATATATATATATATATATATATATATATATATATATATATATATGTATATACATATATATGTATTTTTTTTTATGTTAGCTTTCCTATTGGGTTGTGTTCAAGTTTATTTCTATTGATTTTGTTGGACCATTATTTTTGTTATAGATTAATTATAATTTATTATTGTATTTTTTCAGGAACGGTACACTGATGCAACGCTAGCTTGTGATGGAAAGTTTTACCCTGTACATAAGTTGGTGCTATCAACATGTAGTGAATATTTTGAAAATATGTTTGAACACACACCATGTAAACACCCAATAATAGTGTTGAAAGATGTGAAGCCTGATGAACTAGAGGCACTGCTTAGTTATATGTATGCTGGTGTAGTTAGTGTTGCTCAGAATGACCTTGCAAGACTTATCAAGGCAGCTGAGATGCTGCAGATTAAAGGTTTAGCTGTACCTGATGAACCCCCACCTAGTGAAGAAACAAGAAAACAAGCACCTGCAAGGAGTACTAGAGAAGAACGAGTAAGCCCGCAGCCAAAGAGACGAAGAAGGGAGGAAAATGGAACCCCATCACATGGGGGCTCACAGCCTTCGAGTAGTCCACCTTCATCACCTAGAGCCTCACCTTACCTGCCTGAGAGTGAACAGCCTCGGGCGCGGTCCAGAGCACACAGTGATGGCCACAGGTTAGAGCAGCGGACAGAACAAGGCGATCTCACCCCACATGAGTCGCCTGCATCTGATGTCAAGGTCGGTAGAGTTTGAGACTTTTAGTATTTCTTTATTCTTATACTGGAGATAAGTTTTGATATTTGTGACTGTAACCCTCTTGCATACGGTCATTTTCTATTTTGTTTTTTAAATTGAGGAGCAGATCTTATCCCAGTATAGTTGCCAAGCAGATATTATCACATTATAATTACTCACATTCACAAAGTCTTGAGAAATGGGTTAGCAGCGATATACCTTGAAAAAATAGCATCAATTACTTATTACCTTCTAAATTATTATTATTATTACCATTGTCTTTGTTTTTGTTTTTTCAAATGTTAACCCCTTCGATTCGGTTAATGTGACCATCACATGAAAAAATCTGGCTCGAGGAGCAGGTGGCGTGATCATGCCGTCAGGGGAAAATCTGGCTACAGGTTGGGTGACTTGAACCTGCCATTGTGAGCATTTTGGCTGAAGGCTAGGGTGATGGGAAAGACTTGCCAAGAGTGCACAAACCTAATGGGAAGTTGATTAGACTCCTTTGGCAATTTTGACTTATTCCCATTAGTGTACGACAGTGGAATGTACTGTCTGTGAGCCATGACTGGAAGAGTGCCATGCTCAGCAAAATGTTCCTGTATTTTTATTTTTCTTACACCGAGTTGTAGACTACCTAGAGAGATGATACAGAGTCTGTGCAAAGAAAACAGTCTATTACCATCTAGTTAATGCAAATATGGACATTGAAAATTGACAAAAAAATCTAAAAACACTTCATTCTAAAAGCAGGAAATAACATTGCTTATAGGAGTCTTGTCATCACACTACAAGCCACGCACCCAGCACAGCGGCCCTTCTCGTATAAGTAATGCCCAGATTTTTGGTCATGTTATTGCCGTGATGCAACCGGATCTAAGGGGTTAATGTGTAGCTATATGACCTATGTATGTCTCCATAAGACTAAACAAGCAGCATAGGTACATATGCAATTCATGAATGTATAAGAGGGTTAAGTATTTAGTTGGTAGATTTAAATATAGACATAATTTTACATATTTTATCTGGAATTTTCAGCAAATTATGGTTGATGAATCTCTAGTCAAAGAAGAAATGGTGGAAACACTAGACAGTAGTCAGTCAGAAGGAATGGATACAGGAATGCAATATGGCCATGTAGGAAGTGATACTGGAATGGATGGAGCTGGCAGCCAAGATGATCATTCGAGCCACATGATAGCTAATAAGTACGACCAACCAGTTCTCCCTGGACAGACACAACCTCTTGCTGATGCAGTTGCAGAGGCACTTGCTGGTCCATCGGGAATGCAAGGGGTAAGGCTCAGTGGGTTTTGACTAATATCAAAACAGATAGATATTAAATCATATTAAACAATTACTAATAAAGATGTTAAAGTTTTATGCAAGTCTATTATATCCTACATTTTTTTTTCTTACTTATTTTAGTTTGCTTAACAACAGATTTTGTATTATACCCTTTCTTTGGAATGTTTTAAGGTTAATTGGAATTGCTTTCACTCATGAAAATGCAATTGCACAATTTTTATTTTTAAGTTTACCATTTTGGTAAACTTAATTTTGGGTAGACATTATTTCCCTATTATTTTGTCTTTGTTTCTCTACTATCTATTTTTTTTTCTCCATAGATAAACTTCAGAGCTTGGATTTACACATCTTTTCCAGGAACAAATGACTGTTCTGACATTTTTATTTATTCACTTATAATAGATAAGTTAAGTGAAAGGTATGAGGGTAAAAAAAAAATACAAAGTAGATACAGAGTCATGACTGATTACTCTTTAGTGATATTATCTGAAATGAAACTGCATTTCGTGTTTTTTCTTGCTTTGATTTTGACAGTGGCTTGGTAGTAGTGACATGTCTGGAGGCTTCTCATCAGAAAACTATGGTGGAGAAAGTAGCCAAGATGTTCACCAAAGTCAACAAAGTGGTCCCCATGCACAACCACGGGTGAGTGTTCGGTTCAGATTTTAAGGAAAAGGAGCCATTGACCATGAATGTTCAAAGTACAGATTTTATGAGTGGTATGCCAATGATTTAATGAAGGGAGATGGGAAAAGTTGCAAGTTAAGAGAGATCTAAATTGGAATTTATTTTATAATTTCATTTAACATTGCTAAATTTTGTAGTAATAGATACTGAAGTATGATGACGTAAAGTTTTTGATTTTATGATCTAACATGAAAGATCTTCCAGTGTGGAAATAATGCATCATATAAAATATTGTAGTTGTTGGAAGCAAGTTTTTTGTGTGCTGTGTAATTTTATCTTAATGTTTGTTAAGTTGTGATATGCTTCATTAGAGTGCATTGTTAATATCAGTGTTATTTCTTATATTAACTCTTAGAGTGTTTGGGAACGGATTTTTTTATTCTAGTAATTTTATATTTATATAATTATTATTATTATTATTATTATTATTATTATTATTATCATTATTATTATTATTATCATTATTATTATTGTTATCATTATTATTATTGTAATTATTATTATTATTATTATTATTATTATTATTATTATTATTATTGTTATTGTTATAATTATAGTAATAATATTGAAGCACAGAGAAATAGGCAAATCCCATAAAGAGCATTTTTTTCAGTTAATCCAGTTGCTTTATTAACCGAATACGAAACAATATAAGAAAATAATTTAAACATATTGTGGATCTACATTATTAAGTTCATAAAGGATTATTAAATTATTAGAAGAGAAAAAGTATACACTTTGGGAAATTAGGACATCTCTATAATAAGAGGGAAATGCAAAAGGATGGTAAGTAATATGCCTAGTTCTCTAAGAATTAGGATGAGGATTCTATTTAGAATTAATTGTTGTAATAAAAATATGAAATAGATAATTTCATTCTTTATATCATTGGTGTTATAATTATCATGGTAGAATATTGAGTATGAAACATTGTGATGGATTAATGTTACATTTTTTAGTTTTAGAACATAATAAATAGTCATGTTTATAGATGAGGATGACAAATGATATCTGGATATCTTAGAAATAATACCAAAATTTCTCACAAATATCTTGTCATTGTTTGCCTTCGTAGCTGGTTTTCAGTTTACATTTAGTCCTAGAAATTCATTTACTTCTTCCAACCTGTAACCTTTTAGTGTGAGAAACTGATCACTATTTCCAAGTTGGGTATAGTTGGGAGAAAGAGAAATAATGAGTGAATGCTGTTTACTTGCAATACAGGAGTGGTTTGGGGGACTAGAGGAAGTAAAAAGGGTACTTAGAGATTAGATGAGAAAAAATAAAAATGAAAGTGAGTAATGATTGACTGATTTCAGTGAAAGGGAAAAGAAGTAAGGATAGAGAAAGTAATGGAAACGGAAAATTGTACGTAGGAAAATTACTTGTTAGTGAGGGTGAAAGTAAAGTAGACATAGAAAAGGAGAGGTTGGAGGGAGGCAATGAAAAATGAATTAGAAAATGAGAAAGAGAAATAGATAGGGAGGGGGAAGGAAGAGGGGTAGAGGGAGAGCAAGAGGCAAAGGGAAAGGGAGAAGAAGTGTGAAAATGAATTCATATGTCATTTGAAAGAGCAGGATAAAATGGAGAAAAATGTTAGTAGCTTTGGAATACATTTTTATATATGTAGAAGATGGATCATGTTTTATACTCTATATTCTTTCCATTATGGTCTTTTCCATATATTATGTAAATGTAAAGAAAGATCATATCTCTCACCAAAGTTGTACAAGAACATTGAGAATGGCTCCTTTTTCTGTTGTTTATGATGTAGGTAGTCACTTCCTTTTGATTGTAATGGTAATGTATACTGATTTCTGGTAATTTGTTACAGTGTATATTCTGTGGTCAGAATTGATGTTGATGGTTATAGAAAGCATGTTAGTTGGGACTTCTCAGAGGACAGCTACAGGAAATGGGAAGAGTAGGTCTGAACACCATTTACTATAGTTAATATTCTGATTACAATGTGGAAAAGAACATTCAGAATATTTGGCAGTTAAAAATAATGTGCCAACTGTAATTTAGAGCTAGGTTGTGTATTACTGGTGTACTTCATGAGGGGAGATTTAGTAGGCATTAAGAAATTCTGTAGTTCTTATTTCAAGAAAAAAAAAAATGGAATGGATGTACTGGGTAATATTGTTTTTTATTGGAAGAAGGTTTTTGAGTACTTAGATATGAGCATAAATAGCAGCTAAAATATTTAGATAAAATTTGAATTAGTGTTATATTGCATCTTCAAATAGGTTAACAAGATGTCTTGAACATGGAATGCATTTCAATGTAATTGGTAATAGCATGAATGAGGAAGCTCCTTTCCTAAATAAAAAAAATTAATACTAGCATGGTGATAGATTAATAGATTCTTGACATTTTTGCTTAGTGGTTTTGTCATGACTTCCTCAGCTAAAATATATTGGATCTGAAATTATTTTTAAAGATTATACTTAGATTAATATTTAATTCTTTAAATATACTAAGGGCCATTACATAACAGTTGTGCATGCATACCTCAGAGAGAGAGAGAGAGAGAGAGAGAGAGAGAGAGAGAGAGTGAGTGTGAGTGTGAGTGTGAGTGTGAGTGTGAGTGTGAGTGTGAGTGTGAGTGTGAGTGTGTGTGTGTGTGTGTGTGTGTGTGTGTGTGTGTGTGTGTGTGTGTGTAGGCATGAACGAATAGTTAGAATGAATAGGGTTGATGAGAATAGTTACATAGTATTTCAATTCACATTATTTATCTGACCAATATGAATATTTTTTGAAGTTAGTTATCAAATATTAAGTGTGCCTGAATCTCAAAAGGAAGTGTCTACATTTCATACTTGATAAGATGTCTTTATAACCTGTGTTGAAATTAAGGAAGTTGCAGCAGATGGTTTAAGATTTGGAGGCATAGATATTGAATCATGACATTTTA